TCAGACTGAAGCCTCTTTCGACTAAAAAGGTTTGAACCTTTTATTCTGACGGCCTGCGTCTAATCGACTTTGGGTCCAAATCAGCGATACTTTTTCCTCAATCAATGATGTCTTTTGGTGCTACTTTGAAGGATTTTGTGGTCTTTCACTCATGGGCCCTCTAACTTTTTCTTTTTGTCTTTCAGTCTACTAGATTTTCTCGAGATTTGTGCAAACACATTTATGTGTGAATGTAAATTATTCAAAGACATTCCCATAAATTGTAACAATTTCACATCAAAAGATGAATAAAAATGAAAAAAAACTTCATAATTAATTATTTACATAGTAGCCCTAATCAACTTTAAATGTGCCTTCAATCCCTAATTATCACATAATCTCGCTTCCTCAATATGAAGAAATCAAATCCTTAGAATATATTCTGCATTCCAATAAATTGTAACTTTATCTCCCATCAATGGAGGAATATAAATAAAATAAATAATAAAAAAATAATTTTATAACTTTAGGAAAATTTACATATTTATTACATGATTCTTAGACTAGCATTGCTTTTGTTCTTGCATGACAAAATTGTAAAAAAATATTTAATATTAATTAAATTTGCATAAATATCCAGATAAATCCTTAGCTATAATTAGAGCCGTCAATTTGGCCCGTTTTTCGTGAACAGCTCGTGTTCGACTCATTAAGCAGCTCGTGTTTGGCTCGTTCGTTAAGTCTAACGAGCCGAACATGAACAAATTCTTAAGCTCGAAATGTAAACGAGCCGAACACGATTTATTCGCTCGTGTTCAACTCGTTTTAGCTCGAAATAAAAAAAATTATATTACTTTTTATATAGTAATATATTACATATATTATTTAAAAATGGCTCGAAAAAAAAATTATATTACTTTTTATGTAGCAATATATTACATATATTATTTATATAATAATATATCATATATTTTTATGTCTAAGCTTAAATTATAACACCTCATGTGGCAATGTGGTTAGTGTCTTCTTTTGTATATATTTGATCCAGGGTCGAATCTCATACTTTACATCTATTTTTCTCAATTTTAGTTTAGCGAGCAAATTTCAAGCCAAATACAAGCCAAACATGAACACGAATATTTAAATCGAGCCGAACACGAACACACTGTTCACGAGTCTATTTCGAACATGAGTTATTCGAACGAGCCGAACACAAGCCAAGCCTGAGCTCGCTCAAGCTTGACTCGTTTACAACCCTAGCTATAATACATATGGAGGCTAATGGTGTTAAATAATCATAGATGTATCTAAGGGACTAATTTTTTTTGTGGTAAAAACTACGGGGCGTCACGTCGTCATACTCCTCATCGACGGGCGACGTGGCGGTCGGTGGTTGACTGTCCGGACGTGCGAACATGCAGACGAAATATTTTTTCACCGCCAGCAATCTGCCACCAAGGTTTATGCTGACTTTATTTTACTTAAAATCATATAAATAAAAGGGGCATTTACAAATATACCTCATATATAATTCTTTTGTATTTACTTATCTAGCACCTAAACTTTCATATTTGCATTATAACTCTTAAATCTGTAACATCATAAAAAAATAATGCTATGATTTACATTTAAAGGTGAAACAAATCTTTTCATGCATTGTTTTATCACACAAAATATTATATATAGACATATGAAAATTTAGGTGTTAGATATGTAAATACATAATAATTATGTGGTATGTATGTAAATTTCCTGAAAATTAAACTTCTTTCATATTTTTTTCAACATCTAACCAAGTAACATGAGAATATTTTAAACGCATTTGTTACGTCCTAGAATATTTGAGGCAGCAGAGTGATAATTTAACGTCTCATTATTGTATGAAGATCCAACACACGTACAGATAAAAAAATATTGCATAAGGAGACACCATAATTTTTTACGTGGAAAATATTTTGGAAAGTGAAAATCCCACGGGGTCTAGCCCAGTTAGCACTATGTGATTGTACATGGGTCCACACTTCTCCTGAATTAGAGAATATTAAATTACAATGCTTATAATTATAGGTGTACAACAATCATCCAGTTATAATAGTTGTAATTGGGCTAAAACAAATGTATTTCTTAGTGAAAATAGCAATTGTGGGTTGCAAAGGCTGTAGTTGGTTGTTACAAAGCTAGTAATTAGTCATAAAGGTTGTTCGGTGGCTACAATAGCCTTAGTTGGTCACTAAGGTCCTACATGGAGACTGCAGTGAGGTTAGTTGGCGAAGGATGCCATTATTAGAAGTTGTAGCAACAATTGATTATATAGCCATAGTTGGTCACATATGATATGTTTGGTAGTTGCAATAACATTAGTTGGTCACATAAGCTGTATTTAGAAGCTGCAATAGTTATTTACCATATATGTTGTAGTTAGTAGTTGCAAGAGCATCGGTTGACCACAAAAGTCATAGTGAGAAATTACATAAGTAATTGGTCACATGGGTCGTAGTTGGCAGTTAAGAGCGTCAATTCGTCATAGAGGCTGTAATGGAAGGTTGTAATAACAACAGTTAACCATGTAGACTGCAGTGGATAGCTACAATGGTAACTGACCATATAAGCCATAGTCGCTGCAAGAGCATTAGTTAGCCATATAATTATAGTGGCAAGTTGCAGAAGAAATTGGTCGCATGAGTCGTAATTGGTAGTTACAATAACATCAGTTGGCCACATAAACTATTGTGAAGGGATGTAATGACAACAATTATATAATTGATACTGTAGCCACATACTACAGGCTGAATTGAAGAACCCTCTACTTCATAGATTTTAAGCTTCTTGTGACGTGAGCATAGGCATAAGGAGTACTATATCTCCGGTTGACAACAATCATGTAGAACATTTTAGAAAATCACAATCACCACTATCCTCAAATTACAAGGATCTCACAAAATCTTTCTATTGCATGTCGTTTACTCTGTTTTTGCTAGAATTTTAGGACTTAAACCATCTTTGCAATCACACCAAGTTAGGTTCACTAAATTAAGTTGGCCATAGCTACATTAGTAACTGGCCACATTGGTAGAAGTGGGTCGCTGCAACAACTTCAGTTGGCCACAGAGGCTTTAATGGAAGGTTGTAATGATAACATTTACCCACATAGGCTGTAGTATGTGGCTACAGTATCAATTAGACACATAGGTCGTAATGGGTCACTAGAAGAATGTAAATTAGTTACATAGACTCCAGTCAGTCTGTAATGATACCAATTAGCCATGTTGACCATAGTGATTAACTACAGTAGCGTCACTTGGTCACCAAACCCATAGATAGTGTTATGCCAGTTTGTGGTTGCATTCCTTCTCTTGGGTTTACTATTTTAAACTAGAGGAATCACTTGTCGATATACAACGTAAGAAGAAAATTTAAGAGTCTGGAAAAAACCATCGTATTCTGAATTCTACAATTGTAAGCAATTGTCATTAGGAGTTGTCGTTGTATCTTCAATAGGACGTGTTCAAGATACATCGATACACAGTACTCAGAGTATTTTTTTTCAACGTAATTGGGGTACTTCGTTGCACAGTGTTTAGAATATGGCATTACTCTATATGTTGGAGATTTCTTCACTTGATAGAGTATTTTTCATTACTCTACAATGTGTGTCGCTACTTTGCATGGTACTTTGTTACTATATAATGTGTGTTGTTACTCTACAGAATGATTCATTACTCTGTAATGTTCGTCGTTACTCTGCATTCAGGGTGTGTTGTTGCAATGTTACATAATATTCATGGCATATTATTATAATATATTCAGGGTGCGTTGTTGCATCATATTCAGGGTGTGTCATTACACTGTATATGGGGTTCTTTGCTACACCATATTCAGGATGCATCACTACAATGTATATAAGGTGCAACGTTGTGCAACTTTGCACTATATTCATGGTGCACCATTATATCATATTAGGATGTGTCGTTACGTAATATTTATGGTGCGTCGTTACACCGTATTAAAGGTGCATTGTTACACTATATTCAAAGTTTGTTGTTATATCAAAATATGCATAGTTATTCTACAATGTGTATTCTTACTCTGCAGGGTACTTCTATATCTGCAAAGTCCACCAACGATGGGTAGCAGGGGGTGGTCTGCGGTCGGCGTGGGGCGATCATTGGCTATGGTTGTTTGAAGATTTTGCTAAGTCATCAGTTCAAAACGACTCTAAGATTCAATTCTTTCTCCTCCTTCCTCCCTTCTCCTCCAAGTAAAGATAGAATGTCTATTTATAGGGCCTAATGGAGTAACATTTTCGTCGTTTAGTGACTAACCACCATAATCGAACGACCCATGTTGATTCCTCTTGATCATAGGAGATTTTTTATGATCTGATGACATTAATGAATTTGAAATTAGGAGTTCTAGGACCTGTTGGATTCCTCCAGTCAAGACACTCGATTTGAATACAGACGCGTCAAACATGAAGTTCATTTGACTCTCTAAATAACAAACCAAAACCTCCAAATATTGTTTTAACAGCTTGATTCACACAAGATTTAGTTCGAATTTGATCAATTTTTGTATATTGCAAAAATCAAAGCTATGGGGGCTCGGAATATTTTTTGCTAAATGAATATGTCAAAATTTATGTTTGACAATTTGAGATTAAAAATAAAAACTATTTTATTTGGTGTACATTGATTTATTTTTATATTTTATTTCTTTTCAAATAAGCAAATGGGTCCTAACATTATTTCTTTCTCTTAACCTTGTCAGATAAAAAAAATAAAAAATAAAATAAAACCTTAAAATTGGATTTTTCTTATTTGGGTTAAAAAGCTGAATCATTTCTTTAATAAAACAACTTTAAATAATTAAACAAAAAATTTCAGACATAATTAATGAAAAATAAGCTTTCACCCTCAATTTATGATGGATTAAAGTTATAACCAATTCCATGCTAAAGGTCAGAACTATAATAAATGATATTAATATACACATGTATGCATATCCTCCTTCAATTCCCTCACTCTTCCTCCTCACTCTAGCGGAGCCAACCCACAGACTTCCAGTTTAAATAAACACCCATTGTCCATGGAATGACTCAATGGAGAAGTAAGAAAAAAATTGAAATTTTGTTTTTCTCTCATTGGATTTTCTATAATTTTTCAATCTGCAAACGCAGCAGCTGTGGGAGTTGAGCAACTACTGGTAAGAAAAAACAAAAAAAAAAAATCAATTTTTTATTTGTTTTTAGCTTTTTAATCTCTTTTTATTTGGATAAAAATCTGTTTTTTTAGCTTGATTTTCTTACTGGTTCAGTGTGGAAGAAGATGTAGAGGTGTTTTAGAACACAAAGGCGATAACTTTGGCTTGTTTTGTATGTTTGTTAATCACTTGTTGGTTTGAATGAGGATAATAATCAGCATTTATTGAATCTGAATAGGTGAATTTTCTTAAGATTTTTATTCAATATTCTTTTATTTCTTGTTGTATCAATTTTTTTGGTCTGTTTCTTCTTTGTAGCTCAAGTGTTTGGTGATATGTCTCTAAGAGAAAAGCAGAATGGATTAGAGATTTTGTTCTGTTTACTGCAATGGATTTAAGTGAGATTCAGCTTAAGTCCTATCAGACAGAATTTTGTGAATTTTAAATACTGGATTTACTAGAATTTAGTAAATCTGGAATTACATGATTTACTAAAGTTGTTACTAGACAGACCCTAAGGATTTAAGGATTTCAAATCATGAAACAAATAGCCAATGAATTCATCATGATTTAATGATTTAATTCTCTCAAGGTTTACTAATGGTTTGCTTCTTCTTGGTTTTTCACTTCTTTGTTTTATCAACTTCCTGCTATTTACTTTGAAATTTTGTGATGAAAATAAACTTCTTACAGTCAATTCTTTGTATTTATGTATTTGCATATCTCGCCCCCAACGTTTCATATTACATACCGGTACTTAAAACCGCATGGATATTAAAGGTTTGAGTGCTATGTATCTAAATATGAAATTTTAGGTGTGAGATATAAATACTTAAGAATTATTTCTTGTGGTAGGTTGATAAAGTTGTTAGATAGTTATACGATTAGTTAACAATGAATTAGTAATATTGTATTTCTTTGCATAGCCCCTATTAGAGCACATCGAAGAATGGAAAAATGATGTAATATTTTCTCTTATTTTGTGTTTCTTCTCCTCCTCCTTGTTTCTGGAATTGACGACATCCTCAAATTGTTATTTACCATTCTCAATCCGAGTTTTCTTCTCTATTTTTCCCCGACTTAATTTATGGAGTTGTCAGCATCCTCGAATTGTTGATTATAACGAACTAAGAAGCGAGTTTGTATCAAGAACTAACATATACTGCTAATTATGAGTTCTCTTCTCTATTTTTCCCTGACTTAATTTATGGAGTTGTCAGCATCCTCAAATTGTTGATTATAACGAACTAAGAAGAGAGTTTGTATCAAGAACTAACATATACTGCTAATTAGTGTTCAATTCAAAGATTCAAGAAAATTTCATTTAAAATTCATGAGCTTTTGTTGAAACTCCGAATTTTGTTTGAAACTTTAACTGAACTCCTGAGTTCAGCCAATGAAACTGACCTTATATAACCATGGCTGATAGATCCATATCTTTCCCTGTAGTAATCTATGAGTCTAAAGGTTCCTATGATGATGAAGAGATCAACCGCTATTAACAGCAAACAAGCTCTGATGTCTGATCACAGTTCACGTTCCTCTCATTTTCCATCACCTGTGCTATTTATGAGCTTCTCTGATGCTGAAACTTCTAAAATGGAGCAAACTTCTGAAATGAGCCCAACCTCTATTTTAGAAGTAAAATCCTTCTCTGCAACTAAGCATCATTCATGGGATCTTAGCAACTCGAAAACCGTTGGCCTCAGAATTCTCGATGATCTCATTGATGATAAAATTGTTAGGAAACCTGTAATTGAGTTTGGTGTCAAGAACAGGAGTTCACAGTTAGCTATGGCGTCATTACTTTCTCCTTCAAGATCTTCGCCGGAGCCGCCGCCACCAATCTTATGTCTTTCGGCGACTGAGATGGAGAAATCTGAGGATTATACTCGTGTGATTTCTCATGGACCAAATCCGAGGACAACTCATATTTTTGATACTTGGATCATGGAGAACTGTGGGAATGGCTTCAATTCTCTGAGGAAGGAGATCAGGATCTCCATGGATGGAGCAAGTGGGGATTCTTCTAATGATTTCTTGGCTTTTTGTAATGCTTGCAAGAAGAATCTTGGGGAAGGAGATGATATTTTCATGTTCAGGTTTGCCTCCATCTTATTCATTTTCTTTTTTTAAATTTGTAAAGCGTTAAAATCATGAATATGAGTGAACATTTTAGATATCTCGGGTCTACTGTTCAAAGTGATGGTGATATAGACGGGGATGTTATTAGTAGAATTCAAGTTGGATTGTTGAAGTGGAGGAATGCATAGGGCCGATTGTGTGATAGGAAAGTACCGCTTAGAGAAAAATTTTACAAGATGGTGGTAAGACGTGCAATGTTTTATGGCGTAGAATGTTGACCTATAAAAAACAAGCATAAAACTAAGTTAAATGTTGCTGAGATGAGAATTCTTAGGTGAATGGTTGGCTTGATTATTAGAGACAAAATGTGAAACAATTATATCCATGAAAGGGTTGTTGTAGCTTCAGTGACAAACAAGATTAGAGAGAATCGTCTTAGATAGTTTCATCACATTTTGATGATCTGATTAGGATAATAGGTGCTTTAGATTCGACTTATGATAAGAAAGCTATGGGTAGACCTAAAAAGACCAGGACCTGTTGTATAGAAAATTATCTTAATTTATTAGAATTAAATGAAAATATGACACTCAATAGGACACAATGGAGAAAAAGGATTCATGTAGCTGACCCCACTTAGTGGATTAAAGGCTTGTTGTTGGTGGTGGTGTATAAAGCATTAAATTTTTAATAGATGTGACTCTTTGCTTTTGAATTCTACCTTGATATGCTTAGTTTTCCCAATCTAGTTTTGTTAATGGGCATTTGTCTCCTAGAGTTATGGAATTCAATTTCATTGTTTATTTTTCAAAAAGTGAATAAAAGTATGTTCTTTTATTTAAAATTACCTATAGTAATAATATTAATAAGGGGCATTTATATGCATACCACTCAATATCTTTATGTTAATTGCATATCATAGTTTATAAAATCAGAAACGAAACAAGAGACAAAGCATTAATGCAAATTTTTTACATGTATGTCAACAAAATTGTTTCTTTCCTCTGAAATGAATATCAAAGGCATTTAAGAAAGATGCAACAAATAAGAACCCTAAATGCGTAATTTTGAGCATCGGCATATGTTAGGTATGGCTCATATACCATATAAGGGACAGATGTTGGAGCGGAGTGGAAGCATTTGTCTAAATGGGAGAGTTTTGTTAAGTAGGTTGGGGGTAACAGCCCCGCGATACAGTACAAGGGTATTTTTGTAATTTCACTAAGGGTTGTGTGTGTGCCTGTGTGTGTGTGTGTGTGTGTGTGTAACCATATGAGAACCGATTTTTCACTTATGGAATAGAAACTGTCACTCTGCTCTTGAGGACGTAGGCACATTGCCAAACATCTTAAATCTCTTGTGTTCTTGAATCTTCTTGCGATTTTTTTTTCACTTCAACATAGATGCCACCCAATTCTTATATGTTTACATACCTAACTAACACCCAAGCTTAACTTCTTATACTTATACCACCAAAATCTTTCATACCAAAAAAATTTAAAAAAAACCACTATTTTAACTTTTAAAAAACGAAATACACATTTTCATACATAGGTAAGGCAGGCATGTAAAAAATTCAAGGTTAGCTATTAGATATGCAAATACATAGGAATTGATTGGTATGTATGTAAAACTTCCTCATTTTAAATCTTTTTGATAGAAAACAGTAATATCTCTCAATTTTAAGCATAAAAGAACAAGCATCATCATCATCTTCATCATCATAAATCCAATTTTTCAATGTCTAGTGGCATTTTGTATGTGATGTTAAAAATTTAAAAGTTATATAAATAAATATTAATGTTTGGGTATTTTATATGCAAATACATAAGAATTATGTGGTATGTATGTAAATCCAAATCCTCATTAATTATAATGTTATCATTGATTTCAGATGCTAGATAAACAACAATCACTTGTTATATAGGACCAAAATCAAGTAGCACTAAATAGTAAAATCGACAACTATTTTTTACTACCAATCATATGAAACCATTTTGTTGACAGTACTGTTAAAATTCACATTTTTGCTTCTACTTTGTTATGTTGTATTAGACATTTACAGGAGGATGTTAGGAGGATGTATCTTGGCGTATGTTTTTCGCTGATGATATCCTTCTTGTAGATAAGACTAGAGAAAGAGTACAAGAAAAACTTCAATTTTGGAGATCCACATTCGAGTCTAAAGGCCTTCATTGGAGTAGATCTAAAACTGAATACATGGAATGTAATTTTAGTAGTAACAACTGTAGTAGCAGAGTTATAACTATGGGTGATTAAATCATTAAAAGGTATGAACGTTTCATATATCTCGGGTTTATTGTTCAAAGTGATGATGATATAGATGTGGATGTACAGAATGTTGGCTTTTAAAAGACCTGCAATGCTCTATGGCACAGAATGTTGGCTTAAAATGTTGGCTTTTAAAGGACCTGCAATGCTCTATGGCACATAATGTTGGCTTTTAAAAGAGAAGCATAACATGGAATTAAGTGTTCCTGAGATGAGAATGCTTAGGCGGATTAGTGGCTTGACACTTAGAGACAAAATGTGAAAAGAATATATCCGTGATAGGGTTGCACGGTTGATGTAGCTCCAGGTGCATATAAGATTAGACAGAGCCGTCTTAGATGGTTTGGTTGCATTAAACGTCGACCCTCTGATTATTCAGTTAGGAGAGTAGATGTTTTAGATTCAACTTATGTTAAGGAAAACAGAGATAGACCTGAAAAACTTGGACATATTGTATAAAAAATGATCTTAATTTATTAATGGACCTGAAAAACTTGGACATATTGTATTAAAAAATGATCTTAATTTATTAGAATTAAATGAAAATATGTCACTCAATACGACTCAATGAAGGAAAAGGATTCATATAGCCGACCCCACTTAGTGGGATAAGGGTTTGTTATTGTTGTTATTGTTTTGTTATGCTTTAAACTTAAATAAATCGTTGTGACATTTACATACATAACCACACAATTCTTATCTATTTACATATCTAACACCAAAATTCATCTTTACATGCATAGTATTTAAATCCTTAATATCGCATCAATTATTACTTACTTTTTGAAAGGAAAATACACATTTCCCTGCGTAGGTTTATGACACTAAAGTGTCGTACATATAAATATGAAAGTTTAAGATTACTTGTTACATATGTAAATACATAAAAATCTTATGGTTTGTAATTAAATTTCCTAAATCATTTTGTTGACATGAATGTTGAAATTTTCATTCAAGCTTTTACTTGTTGCTTCTTTTTCGATGATTTAGAATGACTGATGCATCTATTTTCGATTGTAGACGAGAAACGGTGCTCTGTAGTAACGTGTGTCGAAATGAACAAATGCTTTTCGAGGATCAAATGGAGAATTCGTCGCACTGTGGATCACTGTCTCCCTAGCTTGAAGAAACCTCCCTTTATACTTTTATTAGGAGGCTTGAAGGAGAGATATTTTGCAACATGAGTTACTTTTATAGAGCACAATATGAGAGTATAGAAGAAGGCTTTTTTATGTTTTTTTTTGTTTTGCTTGTTTTGCTTACAATGAAAGGAGGCTTTAATAATTTGAACTTTCTAATTTAATGCTTGAAGAGCTTTACTTGGTAATTTTCAATAGGGAAATTTGCATGCATACCACAAATTTTTGCTTCATTTATATATCTAGCACCTAAAGTTTGATATTTACATTTATACCATTTTGGTATTAAAGATCTATGCATGACAAAGTATATTTCACTTTTAAAAAATTAGTTATAGTAGTATTTTTTTGGTGTCATATTTAAAGATTTAGGTGTTGAGTAAATATAAAAGCTTAAATGTTATATATGTAAATATATAAAAATTGTGTCGTATGTACTTAAATTCTCCTTTTAAATAATGTAATGTTTAGTTACTAATCATAATTTATCATATCTAAGCTTAACATTCAAAACATGAAATTTTATGTTTTTTTTCCCCTAAAATTCGATATAAAAGCCTCCAAAAATAAGAAAAATAAAATAATAATAATAATTCATCGTAATTTGATCCTTCTTCTCCATTAAAACAAATCACTCAGGAACTGGAAAAATTATTACGTGCGAAGTTTGTATGCATCTAAGTTTCATGTACAACAATATTGTATATTGTTGTACACATGCTCTGCAATAATATACAATAATATCGTACATGAAGTCTGGATGCGTCCTGACAACCTCAAACAAACAGATAACATGTGTACAACATTATACAATAATATTGTACATAAAATTCGAATACATCCTGACTTCATATGTAATATTCTCTCCTCAATCTCAAACAAACAAATAACAAAAAGTATTGCACAAATAAATCATTCAAATTAGAAATCTATCTCCCCTTATGAAACCATACATGACCATATCCCTCATCCCCCCCTTCATCCAACAATACTTTCTCAGCACCCCCTCCCTCTGAAACCCCACCTTCTCCAAAACCCTCTGAGAAGCCTTGTTCCCCTTCTCCACCAATCCCTCAACTCTCTCCAATCCTTCTATTTCCGACAACGCAGCCTCCGTCGCCAGCCTTGCCGCCGCCGTCGCCACCCCTTTCCCCCACCACTCCCTCGCCAACACGTACCCTATCTCGCCGCGGCACTGACCGCCACCCTCCTCAGAAAATTTTATCGACACCGCGCCGACCGGCCGGCCGCCGACGACAATCGCGCGGAACCATGGGTTAGTGAGGACGTTCTCCTCCATGAACTGCCGGAGATCGTCTTTGCTTTCGTAAGCTTCCCAAGTGCAGGTGGCGGCGACGCGCTCGTCGGAGGCCCAAACCCAAAAGTGATCGAGGTCGGAGAGTTCGAATCTCCGGAGGATCACCGGAGGTGCCATTGATGGGGTTGTTGTTGCTCTGGTTTGTTTTGAGTCTTTGATCTGTTTTATAGAAGGGGAGAGGGAGAGATGACTTGGTGACTTAGAACGGCCGGCTTTTTTGACTGGAAACCAACGGTCAAAAAAATATATTGAATGGAAAATTTACATTCATACCCCTCAATTCCCATGTTTTTATATATTTGCATCTAAACTTCCATTTTTAGCACACGCGACTTTTCTTTAAAAAGAAATGGAGAATTCGTCGCACTGTGGATCACTGTCTGCTAGCTTGAAGAAACCTCCCTTTATACTCTCATTAGGAGGCTTGAAGGAGAGATATTTTGCAACATGAGTTACTTTTATAGAGCACAATATGAGAGTATATTTAACTCTTAAATTTTAATTTAGGGTCCGTTTGATCAGCTTATAAGTGCTGCAGTTTTTTTGAAAACACCGCTTAACCGTTTAGTTTGCGTGTTTTTGAAAATATTGTCTGTCGCGTTTGAGTTTTTTACACTAAACGCTGGTTTGTGTGTTTTTGAAAATGTTGTTTGTCGCGTTTGAGTTTTTTACACTAAACGCAGGCCGCGGATCGATCTACGGGCTGCATTTCATGACAAGCTGCTCCAAACAGATCGTGACATATCATTCAATTTTTATGTATTTGCATGTCTTACATTTAAAGTTGATATTTACAATTTCATATACAAATTGGTATTTATGTGATTTAAAAATTTTGAATATTATAAACTTAAATATGAAATTTTGAGTAGATATGTAAATAAAGAAAAACGTCGGGTCACGAAAATGATTTCACATCATAATAACGTGGCCACTTGGCCGGCAGCTGCAACTTGCGTGGGAAGTTACAACAATTGAAAAAATGTATTTTGTTGTCATAAATGTGGCATAAATAGTTAATTTATTAAAATATAAGATTGTAAATTAGAAAGTGTTTGTATCTTAATATAAAATTAATATTTTTAATGTTATATGAAAATTTTGGATAATATAAATATAAATAATAAGTTTAAAATGTTGTTGTTGAATTTGAGAGCTACACATAGTGAGGGAAGAGAGAGAGAGAGAGAGAGTAATACAATAATGAATACTAACTTTGCATAACACTTATTTATGAGGACCATTTATTTATAGGAATCGGTCATCGTACAATTACACAATATACTCCTAAAGTATGTAGGTATGGTGGGGGTATTTTAGTTCGTACATAGATATGGCTTGTGAGGCCCATGGATGTGGAAGGGTAGTTGTTAGGTCGGGCAACCCTCAATCTAGGCAACTGTGAGGAGGGACGGCCCTTAAGTCTGGCGGTTCTCAGACAGGGTGGTTGTTGGGCCTGACAGCCCTCAGACTAAGCGACTGTGAGGCCGAGTGGCTGTTAGTCCTGACGGCCATCAACTTGGTCGGTTGTGCGGCCAGGCGGGCATTAGACCGGACGACTACTTACTGAGGATCCACATCAACCATTATAGAACTGGAATATCTATTTTATTTTCTTGAACTATCAGGGTGGGACATGTTTTTTCGAGTGGATCTGGTTCGATATATTTTTAAGGGTGATCTACTATTTATCCATTTGAAGCGCAACGTCCTCCTGGTACATGTGGGCCGGCCAGTTGAGCATGTGGTCCTTAGTCGTCCTTAGTAGGCCACGCTTAAAAAATAAATAAATAAATAATTATTATCAAATATTCTCTCTTTGTTAAATTGAAAAAATCAAAATTTGGGAAACGCAGGCTCAAAGTATTTTAAAAAGTAAATAAGTCTCTAGAATTTAAATATATTAAACCAAATTTTCAAATAATTTAATAATTAATCAATACCATGAATTAATCAAGAATAATCAAATGACGTAAATTTTTTTTTTTATAAAAAAGTAGTATCTTAATCATATATTTCACTTTAAAAAATAATCCTCTAATACATGTAAAAATCATGCATTAATTCAAGTTTAATAAATCATATATTTAAACTATTTCAATTGAAATATCATAGTTTTACCATAAATCAAACCAAATACCATTATAGCATTTACATAAATACCATCCAACGCTTTAAAATTTCATATTTACATACATACCACTCAAATAATTAAAATCACATAAAAAATACATCTATCGTTAAATTTTTAAAAATGATATAAACCGTTTTATGCATGGGGGTTTAATAACAAAATATTATAAATGTGCAGTGTTAGATTTGTAAATACATATGAATTGAGGGGTATGTATGTAATTCTCCCTTCAACAAAATAGTTTCCATCAGCAGAAACAAAGCCATTCTGATTCACACACAAAGCCAATGCCTCAAGTTTTAATTTCTGCTCCACATTGATAAATTCACACTGAATAAAACAGCAACAACAACAATCATCATCATTTTCAGAATCAAACTTCCCCTGAACAACATAAAAATCACTTTTTTAAAAGTATGAAAAATGATAAAATGCCTACTTCTCTGTAATTCCCCATAGAAATACAATGTCACTCTACATAGAGATATGAATCAAATTTTGAGCACAGCACAGCCCAGAATGCTCCCGCTGCATCGAGTCATCGGCGACGCCTGCCGCCAAATCGGCCATTTGGTGTTCACCGATAGAACATCGACGTCTCGAAGCTGCTTGATCAACTGATTCGTCGGCCCCGGTCCGATCACCCCGCCGATGACGTACAGGTCGTCGCCGAGACCAATCATTCCGAATCCAATTCGGCTTCTGAATTCCGGCGAGGAAGACACCAACTTATCAACCAAGGTATTATCATCCTTCTCCTTCTGACTGCTCCCCTTTCTCTGCTTCAGAATGAAGCCTCCGTTGAGGACATAGAGCTCGTCCCGAACGACGGCCATCGGACCTTGGAGCCACCCGAAATCCACGACGCGCCATTGCTGGCCGTCATCTAGAATCTGCACTGCAGATAATCCTTTGTGAAGAACATGGATCTTGCCATCTATGACGACGCCGAAGCTGGCGGAGGTATGGGTGTGACGAAGATCGGGGAGAGACCGCCATGAATCGGTGTCGGGGTCATAGATCTCGGCCTTCGAAATTGATTTGCGGAAGCTGGTGAAACCTCCGGCGACGACGATTTTTCCATCCAGCGAGCAGCAAGCAAACATTGCACGAGGAACGAGCATGTTGGCTCTTCGAGACCATTCGTGGTAGAAGGGATCGTAGGACCAGACTTCGCTGGTGGCAAAGATGCCGTCATGATCGCCGGTGAGCGGGTCGACTCGGTCGCTGCCTCCGCCGAGCACGAATAGCTTGCCGTCGACGGAGGTCACGCCGAAGCGGGCGAGGTGTCGGATCTGGGATGGCATGACGGGGAGGGTTAGCCAATGGTCCCTGCATGGGTCATAAAGTTGCCAGATGTTTTCGGGGTGGAAGGCAAGAACACAGAGAAGCTCCTCTGAGGTGCCGGCTTCGCGACGAGCCTTGAAGACCTCGGGGCTGCAGAGAGCAGCCCTCCATGATCTGCAAACAAGCCGGAGGTTTTGATGGTAGTAGAAGGGCACTCGCGCGAGGCAATGAAGGGCGACGGCATCAGGAAGACCTTCGATAAGGCCGGACATAATATCGCCGGTCATTCGGATTAACACTCATAAGATATGGAGGGAAGAATCTGAAATAAGAGTTGAGGAATTAGGAAAGCTGACAAAATGAAGATCAGAAGCAGCAAATGATGGTACTGAATTTTACTAAGATCTGAATTAATGTATACTTAATTGCATAAAAGATATAAGTTGGGCAGAGTTGAGGAAACTAACAATGAAGATATATAAATGCCACTCAATCGCTATGTATTTACATATCTAACACCTAAACTTCAATTTTTACATACATAACAACTTAGCTATGAATGAAAAAGGTACATTTTTACTTGTTAAAAGTTAAAATGGTGATATTTTTTATGTGAAATAAGATATTTTAAGTGATATAAATGTAAAAAAGTAAACTTTAGGGTTATAAATGTAAATACATAGGAATTGGCTCGTATTTCTGCAAATGCCCAAAATAGTAAATACCTATACCTATACAAGCTCATTTAAATATGGAAAAAATGCGGTATGATAGCATAGGGAATAATTGTAACTCAGTTGTAAGCCTTGTTAAAAAAAGGGAGGCTTTACATTCCCTAGACATGTAGATAGTCCTCAGTTTGGTAAAACAATAAGAAGGAAAATTTGAAAGCTTCCTTTGTGGATGACATCACTAATATATCATTAGATGGGGGGCATTTACATGCATACCAACCAATTCCTACGTATGTAGGTATCCAAAACCTAAAAGTTTTGCTTTTTTACATTTATACCGCCCAAATCTTTCATCTTTCACATCACAAAAAGTACCATCATTTTAAACTCTAAAGTGAAATACACTTTTTTCTGCATGGGTAAGATAGTTCGCGTGTAAAAATTGAAGTTTGGATGTTAAATATGTAAATACATGAGAATTAAATGGTGTGTATGTAAATCTTCCTAATTAGAAATCAGGCCAAAGAAGGATGAAAGTTCATTGAGGGAAATTCCTGAATCGCTTCGAAGAGGCACCATCAGCATTAAGCTCTCTAATACTTTTATAGACTTTGGGACTAAAATGATCCCATAAAAAATATAAGGGAACTACTTTGACACTTCTTGCATTTCTAATATGTGGTTATGCATGGTGTGTTCAACAAATAATAATCATCATTGCCAAAAAAGGAGATGCATCATAGTGTGGGTGCGAGCGCACGTGCATGTGTGTCTAAATTGATTAAATTTCAAGTGACTATAGTGTGCTCTATGAACTTCAAGTATTATTAGCAAGTAGCATCCTTAGATGAACTTGTAGAAAAAACTGGCAAGGATAAATTTCAATCTCCACCTCGTTTTACACATTTGAAAAAGGAATCTCATATAAAATTATCCTCAAAAAGTTAAAAAACTAATACAAATGGTGCATGCACTATGATGTGTAAACCAAAACATATCAAGAACTATAAAAAGAATATAGGGATAATTACATACATAGCATCCAATTATTATGGATTTACAGATCTCATGTCTAAACTTTCATTTTTACACACAACACTGTACCTATGGATGAAAACATGGATTTGACTATTAAAAAGTGATAATGAGTGCTACGTTTCATATGATGTTTGTAATTGTGAAAGTTTAGGTGTGAGATAAGTAAATATGAAATTTTTGGGAGCCATGTATGTAAAAGCCAGAGATAGACCTAGGAAGGCTTGGGCTTATTGTATAAAAATGATCTTAATTTACTAGAACGATCTTAATTTAATTTACTAGAACTAAATGAAAATATGACACTAAATAGGACGCAATGGAGAAAAAGGATTCATGTAGCCGACCCCACGTAGTAGAATTAAGGCTTTATTGTTGTTGTTGTTGTTGTTGTATGTATTTAAAAGCCCCAAGAATATAAAAAACATGAAAGTATTTCATCCTTTATCTACTCTACATATATCCAATTTTACATCATGAAAGTATTTCATCCTCCAACAAAATGATACAAATGAATCAAATCATATAGAAGATAAACGAGTAAAATGTCAATATAGTCCCCTCGTAATTTAGTCCTAAAGTCTAAAAAATTGTCAAATTAATCTCTACACTCTTGCAATATGGGTTGAAATAATCGTCAGAGAGGACTATTTTATCCCCCATTATAATGTTTGGGACTAAATCAGCACTTTTATAGACTCTAGGATTAAAATGACCCCCTAAAAGAGTCAAGGGACCATTTTTGACACTTTCTAAAGATCTAACTGTGCAAAATTAGTAAACTTAGCCAATCATTGTATAAAAAAGTAACTAGATAAAATCATATGATCGGAAAATGAATATCATGTAAATTAAGCAAGTCTGCACTACTGAAAAGCCAACACAACAGTACAATAAGCAATTAAAGTCATAATAATGTCTATCAAGAGACACTTTAGTGTCTAGTATATTCTCATTTACTTTTCCTAAATGCAATCATTGGCATCATTATTAACCCTACAATTTGGTGTTCGCATTATGATCAGTTCTTTCTCATTCCTTCATGTTAATTTCATGCAAATTCTAGTCAATGTAAACCATCTTGCACAACATATGTGCATGTGAACACTAGTTTCAAGTTTATTTTTTCATATTTTATAGCTATTTAATAACTTGTGTTTGGTCTATTCATATCCACCGCTCATTCCATTCACCCTTTTAATTCTATTTATCATTTTTTATTGGCACTTCACTCTGCAATTCTATTTATCATTTTATTGGCACTTCACTCTGCCTTTTCTAATTTTATCACACATCCATCACTCTGCCTTCTCTAATTTTATCACACATTCATCTAAACTTAACATTTTTAACACATGGTTCTTACTGAGCCCCCCTACATTATGATACATAAGAAGATATAATTGAAAACTGGCTGACCGAATGCGAGGAATTATCATCGAGGGGGGCAACTACAACATTATTGACTATTTTAGGCAAACCATGGATAAAGTTGATAAATATCCTTTTAGGCCTCCATGATATTCTTTTACCACATAATACAGTTAAATAGCTGTTTTTTTTTAGTTTATTCATTATATCAATATAAATATCTTTATTATTTCAAGCAGTTGATCAAGATATTTATACATATAGTCGATTTCAAAAATTGCCTAATCAGTTATTAAAGTATTTTCTTTTTGTCAGGCAGGACGCAAGCCTCAGGGTATTTTGAGGTGTAAATCTGAAAAATTAAACTACTAAATTAATGAAAAATAATATGCAACCTTGAAAATAAGATCTCAAGGTAAGATCATAAAAGTCATACAAAACTAAAAGCACTAAATAATAAGCTCTGAATTGTCCTGAAATCTTTATTCAATATTTTAGGTTTATTTCTTGATGAAATAGGTCTAGGTTTAAATTATAAAAGTCATTGGCCTTTAGGGTTATAAATTAAAAAAAACCTAAGTCCATCAAACTGAGGTTTAGGCCTCACCAACAAAGCTTTAAGGTGTGCCTCACACAACTGAGGAACCTTAAGTTTTCCATGTGAAGCGTAAGCCTCAAACCCTTTTTTTGTGCCTCGGAATGAGGCATGCTCTGAATTGCACAATTTTAAAACATTCATTTTTTTTTTGGGCATCATGTGATTTGCAATCATTATTGAATAATTCACTCCTACTTGTGGATCTTCTAGAATTTTAGTCTGGAAGCATTTACATGCATAACACCCAATTCCCATTAGCCTATTTCAAACCATTTATAAAATTGTTGCTAAATTTCGGTTATCAGGTTCAAAGGCATTATGTCGTCCATCATTTGTGAAGAGCAAGGAATTTTTGTGCCTAGCCGGTCCATATCTAGCCATGGTCTTCTTGCGAAGTTTGAACAAATTGAAACATGCTACCACCCTTGTGGCACTTAAAATTGACATGGAGCAAGCTTACTATTGCATGAGTTGAGCTTCCCTCCAGGAGGTTATGAATAGAATGGGGATTACATGATACTTTCATCAATTGGGGCTTGCAATGCTTATTGCGTCCAAAATTTGCATTGATCATCAGTGTGCAACGTCTGTCATGGATTCAAGCTGAGTGGGCTTTCAGGCAAAGCTGCCCCCTATCCCCATACCTTTTCATTATTTGCTCGGAACTGCTCTTTCTAGCTCTCTCTCAAGAAGCAAAAAATCATGGGATACAACTCAAGAGGAATGGTCCTAGAGTTTCCCAGCTCCTCTATGCAGACAATGTGCTCCTTTTCGCATAGGCCTCGACCACAACCGCCAAACTAATCTATAAAATCACTTATAACTACTGTGATTGGACAGGGCAGGGGATAAACATAAATAAATCGATTATAATGTTCAGCAAACTCACTCTGAATTGGAAGAAAAGAAGAATTACAAAAATGCTCCAGTTTCATAAAGCGGAAGAGCTTCTCCGCCTGGGTGTACAACTAAACCAAAGAAGGCTTACTAAATTGGATTATAGCAAACTTACCAATGCTGCCAACAAATTAAACACGTGGGGTATCCGGCATCTCTCTTTGGCAGGTCGAATTACTCTCCTCATTTCTGCTTACTTGGTGTTTCCCATGTACTTGCTAACCTAAGCTGACCTCCCCAAGAGTGCTCTACTGCAACTGGAAAAGAACAGCCGAAGTTTCCTATGCTACAAGGGCAATGGGAGAAGGGGATTACATACATTATGTTTCATGGCAGGAGCTATGCAAGCTGATCAAAGCTGGAAAGCTCGGATTTCATGTAGGCATGAACTGGAGAGGGCCGCAACGGGCAAAGCTTTCCTGGAACTTCATTAGCTAAACGGAGATATGTGGAACTATTACAGCAAAAGGTGTCATTCAACCACATGGAAGATTATTCACGACGGGGCTGAAAGCCTGAATAAGATTCTTCATTGGAAGGTGGCTAAGGGGGAAAATATTAATGTCCTTTCTCAGATTTAGATATGGGACCGCCACTTGAGCCAATGGCCCACTTTTGTTAATACCTCAATGAGCGAACAATTAAGGGTTTCCAATCTTATAAATAATCGTGAATGGGATACTGAGAAGATCCAGGATCTCTTTGGAGAAGAGATTTGCAACGTCACTCTCAACAGCCCAATAGCTATAGATCGATTGAGAGACATTCCTGAAATGTGTAAGCTATTCTCCGGGAAAACTATCACTGCTAATGCCTTCCAAGCAGAATTTCATCATCTTCAAGATACCCAATGG